GCTCAGGGGCAGGAGCAGGCCCTCAGTGACATGGGTCAGTGGTGGCCTTGGCAGCGCTGGGGTGATGGTTGGACTTGTCCTGTGGCTGAACTGGAGCCACCACGAGATGCCCACCTGAGCCTTTGTGTTCCGCAGTGACCCGCTGTTCTCTGCCCAGCGCCTGCCACCCCACGGTTACCCTCTGGAACACCCCTTCAATAAGGATGGATATCGGTACATCCTGGCTGAGCCTGACCCCCATGCTCCTGACCCGGAAAAGCTGGAGCTGGACTGTTGGGCAGGGAAGCCAATTCCTGGGGACCTCTACAGAGCCTGCCTCTATGAACGGGTGCTCCTAGCGCTGCACGACCGAGGTACAAGGCTTGCTGGCCATGTGCAGGTTGTACAGCTGGTCCTTGCTGGGGGGGGCCTCTTCTTTAACCTCACTTTAGTGCTTATTCACGTTTGAGACATCGTTGCTTTGAGGTGCAAACATTAAATCCACTTCTGCTGTTCATTTGCCTTCATGTGCATGTCAGAAATCACAGCTCAGCTCTTCTCTACCACAGCTCCTCAGTTAAAGATCTCTGATGACAGACTGACTGTGATCGGGGAGAAGGGCTATTCCATGGTACGAGCATCACATGGGGTGAGGAAAGGAGCCTGGTACTTTGAAATATCCATGGATGAGATGCCTCCGGACACTGCTGCCCGATTAGGCTGGTCACAGCCATTAGGTAAAGAGTTTTACCAACTATTTCTTATCAGCTGGTTCCTGTATGTCTTTCCCCAGTGATTTAGACCTAAAGAGGGTCAGGCAGCAGCTTGGCTGCTGCTTCCTTGCTTTTCTTAAGGGGAAACTCCTGCAGGTGATCTCAGTGGTGCGGAGCTGCAGTACAGGTGGATCCTTGACACTGTTGCTTGCTGTAGTCAATGTATTTGTGCTCATGGGAGCTGTATTTGTTAACTGGATGTAACTACTGCCCCAAAACTTGAATTGGGATCCACAGAGGTGCTCCTGCTACACAGTGTATGTTCGTGTTTGTTTCCACAGGGAACCTCCAGGCACCTCTGGGATATGACAAGTTCAGTTACTCCTGGCGCAGCAAAAAGGGAACTAAGTTTCACCAGTCCATTGGGAAACACTATTCATCTGGCTACGGACAGGGGGATATACTGGGATTTTACATCAGTCTTCCAGAAGATACTGAGACTGCCAAATCACTGCCCGACACTTACAAAGATAAGGTGAGGTGTGGAGTTCAAGATGGGATGAAATGGTGCCTACGTGGCCACGTGGAAACCAGGTTGCTCTGGCCTCACTTTTGTCCCCTCTGAGTGAGTCCTTTCCATGCTACCTCTGGGTGCCACCGTGGTTCATGGCAGAGAAGTCAAGGAGGACTCTCTGTGGGCTGCTGAATGAGGTTGCCCATGTCTTGTTTGAGCCTCTCTTCCCCTCCTGGCTCTCAGATAGCTGGGGGGTGTGATTCACACTCTGTGTGACACCACAGGCACGCCTGGCCCAGAGCAGGGCTCCTGCAGGTCTTTAGTGTGTCACTAAAGGTACCAGTTATTCTGGTTTACTTCTGAAGTGGTGGTTTTCTGCTCTTTTCAGGCCCTGATCAAATTCAAAAGCTACTTGTACTTTGAAGAGAAGGACTTTGTGGACAAAGCAGAGAAGAGCCTAAAGCAAGCTCCTGGAAGCCAGGTCAGTTACAGGATGCAGAACTTCAGGAAGAATGGAGAACTTACTTGCTAAGGGGGGCTCAGTGTGTGTATTAATTGCTTGCATTTAATGAGCACAAAGGGAGGCTGAGCCTTAGGTCTTCATCAAAACCAAGAATGCTTTTATTAAAGCAACAATAAAGGGACATTTAGCAAACAAACTGCACCCTTTGCTTATAATGCTACTGCTGGCACTGAAGTGATTGTCTGGTTGCAGGTAAAGGGGAGGGTAGGTTAAGCTGCCTCTTGCTTTGTAGCTCAAGAAGTTGGCATCAGTGGAAAAATAACCCTCTTAATCTTTCTTTTCAGATAATCTTCTTCAAGAATGGTGTCAGCCAAGGAATTGCCTTTAAAGACATCTTTGAGGGAGTTTATTTTCCTGCTATTTCTTTGTACAAAGGCTGCACAGTAAGTAGCATAGCATCAGACGGTGATTCCTAGCATGGTTTTAGTAATGCCCGGAGCGTGGGCACTCTGGGAGCAGGGCAAGCACATAAAGAGGAAATAATGGGAATTATTTTAGTGAGGCAGCTCTGGAATCACGTTGCTGTTCAGGTGTATGATGGGACTTTATCAAAGGCCTCAGTTTCCATGCCAAGGGGGCTTGTTCCCGTGGTCTTGCAGGAGTAGGAGGGGATGAAGACTGAAGACTAAAGCAATTTGCCTGTTGCTCTAATGCCAGATGTGTCTTCCCCAGGTTTCTATAAACTTTGGGCCATATTTCAAGTATCCACCCAGAGATATCACGTACCGGCCAGTAAGTACTAACTGAAGCTTTTCAACCTCCCCCTTTGTCACAGCCTCACACTATTTAAACATAAGGTGGGTGAGAGTGTTGTGGTGGTGGGAGTTCATTTATACCAAGCCTGTATCTGTCCTCTTCAGTCTTTGTACTTGGCTAGGAGAGCCAAAAGGATTGTATTTATAAATATTTAAGGCCAGATAGTAGATGCTGAGTGAGTTGTTAGGCTATTTAGTTAAGGTTTAGCTGTCTTTGTTCCTCCTGACAGATGATAAAGCCCCTGTTCATGCCTGTGTTAGCTGCTTTTATCAGTAAGGGGATTCTTGTTTGAGGCAACACTTGGATGTTTCCCCCCCACTACTGTTTTAGGAGGGAAACAGCCCTGGAATGCTGCTGCATGACAGGATTAGTCCCTCCTTATCCTGAGCCTTTCCTTCCCTTTGCAGATGAGTGACATGGGCTGGGGTGCTGTTGTGGAACACACGCTGGCGGATGTGCTCTATCACGTGGAGACAGAAGTGGACGGGAGACGGAGCCCGCCCTGGGAGCCATAACCCGAGCAGGCAGCAGAGTGCTAACAGCAACCACACCGTGGGGCTCCAGCAAGTGGCTTTTATTCATGCATCACTCCGAGCAAACAAGCTGAAGCCAACACAGCTCTGGGGGGGGCAGGCGTTGTGTATATTTGTTACCTGCAAGAGATTCATGCTCTGCCCCTGGGCTGGAGGCTCAGTGAGTGCAGTTCTGGTAGGTATCGTGGTGTCTGTGGGCATCTCTTGGAGTCTTCAGTAACTTCACAGTGTAGCTACAGCAGCAAGTATCACGTCGAGGTAACATCTGTGCAGTGCCCGGGTTGGAGCAGTCCTTTGTGTAGTGAGAGCAGTGAACACCAGCTCCTGGCCGCAAGGACTGTGTTGTGACAAGACTACTGCACGTAGGGCTGAAATCTGGGCTTCTGGCCAAACTCTGTATATTTTTCCCCCCACAAACTGGAAATAAGTTTAAAAATAAAAGGGTTTTTTTTTCTTCTTCTTCTTTCTTGTTAAAAAACGAGGTTTCAACTCAAAGTAGGCACATTCTGGAGATCTCTCAAGCTCCTCCTCCCTCCCCTGCCAAGTTACAAGGCCTCCTGCCAGTGATCATCATTACACAGCTTTAACTGAATAAATAATTTGACACTTGGTGTGTGTCTGTACAGGAACAATAAATTAGAGCTGCTTCACTCGGGGAGGAGGGAATAGAACTCAGAGAGGGCTGGGGTTTGGGGGAAGGAGGGGAGGAAAAGTTGAGGGTTTGAAGCAAGTCCCTGTGCTGGTCCTTCTACCTTCCCACTCAGGTGACTGGGACCTCCCTAATAACTAAGTAGCCAAGGCCTTTAATAGTAAATACCCCTCATTAGAGCTTTATTAATATTCATTAATTAGAGAGGTTGATGGGGCCCGTGGAGCAAATGCAGAACTTACTTAGCGTAAGTTTATGCTCAGGCCCTTACTAACTCATTAGTTTCAATAAATAAAGCTTTATTCATTTCTTTACTGCAACTACATATTAATTAGTAGTGTCTACTATTAAAGGCCTCGGTTAATGAGCACAGGCTCTGATTACATTGTCTGGCCACTACAAGCTTCCCTCATTCTCCCCCGGCCGAAGCCTGAGGCCGCGTGGTCAGCCCTATGCTGCCGCTGTCCGTGCCAGGCGCTGACGGAGGTGCTTGGCAAAGTCGACCTGGGTCTGGGCCAGGACCTGGTTGATGATGGTCTTGGGCAGCCAACCCTGGAGAGGAGCAGACACAGCCCGTGAGCGGAACCTGCCCCGAACCCCAGCCTCCTGCTGCTGCTTCGGAGCAGAACTCACCTTGAGGTCGATGCTGAGGAGCCACGTGAGCTTGGTTTGCGAGGGCCGGCCGGGCAGCGGGCGCAGCAGCATGCACGTGGGGCCGTTCTCTGCTCTGCAACGGGCAGGGGTGCACGTTAGGGACCAACTTTCAGCCTCAAAGCTCACGGCTGTGCCAACACACACTGCGAATACGACTGCGCAGGGTACAGGGGAGGTACAGCCCAAAGAGCTGCCGCGCTTCTGTCCCCCCGCCCTGAGCAGGGCGCCCTTGGGGACCCCCCTCAGCCTCTACTAGTGTCCCCCTGGTGTCCTTGCAGTGGCAGAAAGCATCCCTGGGGATGTGGGGGCCTGGAGGATGGTGCCAGCCTCTTCCCAGTGGTCCCAGCGACAGGACAATGGCCATAAACTACACCACAAGTGGTTTCACCTCAGCACGGTGAATGGCTCTAGAGAGACATTCCAAACCTGCCTATCCCTGTGTAACCTGCTCTAGGTCGGACTGGATGATCTCCCGAGGTCCCTTCCACCCGGAATGATGCTGTGAACTGGGATTTCCTCAGCAGCTCCCACCATCCAGACAAACCCAATTGCTCCGAGCCCCTACTAAAAGCCCACGTGTGGCTCTGACTTTCCCTCCACACCCTTGTGGGTGACCATAACCCGGAGGTACCTTACGAAGCCCTCCTGCTCCGGCACGGCTCCGTACTGCGTGGCCATTCCAGCCAGGACACAAGTGGAGCCGCGTCTCTTGGAGCACCGCACGCTCACAAAGTCCCGGGGGCCAACGATATTCCCGGGGGGAGCAGCCGCCTTCTCATGGGTGATGACTGTGTCCTTGCCAATCTTCTGCAGGATCTGGGAAGTTCAGGATCAAGGGTTAACTCTGCCGTGTTCAAAGGGAAGGGGTTCTTCCTCTCAATGCTGCTCTTACTGCCATAGCAAAGAGCTGTTTGGGGCAGCAAAGTGCTGCTCCCTGCACCTCGGGGCTCTGTGCTGCTGTTCCTGCTCCAATCTCCCACCAGCCCTGTCCCGCTGCAGTGAAGCCCAAGTGCATTTCATGCAGAGTAAGTAGCAGACAAGCTGATACAGACTCACTGCTGCTGCAGCGGTGTGATTGCAGCAGGACAAGCTCCATGCCCGCAGTAGGAAGTGGACAGGATGAATTCTGCCCTCCCCATTCCCAAAGAAAGGCTGGAGAAATCCTTTGCAACAAGACACTTTGGCCTTCCCAGCTTCCCACTGTGTGTGAACCCCTGCCTGGGGCAGGGCGACATTCCCACCTTGACTTCTTTGACGCTGGGGTTCCAGTCTCCCATCTGCTCCATGTTGTCCACCAGCTCACTGTACACCGCATCCAGGGGCTGATCCACCACCACCTCCAGCCGGAACACCTTCCCCACGTCCGGGAGCACCTTGCTCAGCACTTTGTCTCCGTTCTCCTGGAGAAGGGAAAGCAGGATATTCCCATCACACTCATCTACAGGAGGAGCGGGTCAGCCCGCAGCAGGGCACGGCACCTACCACCTCCGTCTCCATCTTCCAGCCGTCCTGGTCCCCGAGGATGCTCAGGGATTTCTGGAGCGCTTCTTCCCCTTGTTTGATGTAAGACATTTCCATCTCGCTGAAGGGCTTCTCCTCCAGCCTTGAGCCTGCACCGGGTCAGACAACAGCAGTGTAAGAACCATCGGATAAGCTTCACCCACATCAAATCCACTGCTCCAGACCTGGGGAAGTCAACTCAATCCCTGCACGGCACAAGCACAGGCTGCCCACGAGCAGGTTTTCCCCAAGCACTCCCTGGAGCCCTAATGGTGACAGTCACCACCTGGCAGGAAGGGGCTGGAAGGGGCAGGAAAGGGAAGGAAAGGAGATGGAAAAGGGGAAGGAAAGGGGATGGAAAGGGGCTGAAAAAGGGGCAGGAAAAGAAATGGAAAGGGGGCAAGAAAGGGGATGGAAAAGAGGCAGGAAAGGGGCTGGAAAGTGGGCAGGAAAGGGGAAGGAAAGGGGATGGAAAAGGGGAATGAAAGCAGGTAGGAAAGGGGATGGAAAAGGGGGCAGGAAAGTGGATGGAAATGGGGGCAGGAAAAGGGATGGAAAGGGGGCAAGAAAGGGGATGGAAAAGGGGCAGGAAAGGGGCTGGAAAAGGGGAAGGAAAAGGGGCAGGAAAGGGGCACGGACAGGGACACGGACAGGGGCAGACCCCGCTGCAGGTCACTTACTGAGCAAGGAGCTCCTCCTGCGAACGTGGCTGATCCAGGGGCCGGGGCCGGGGCCGCGGGAGATGAGCTTGCTCATGGCCGATGGTGGCAGCAGCTCGTCTTCTGAGACCTGGGGGCAGAGCAGGGTCACCCACAGCACTGGGGGGCGGTCACTGCGGGGCTTTCCCCCACTTCCAACACAGGACATGGAACTCTGCTTCTGCCTTGGCCCCACAGGCACAGGGAGAGGCTCTGGGACAGGAGGTGGCCTTAGGCAACCCAGGCT